AAAAGATGGCATAGGGAAATCTACTCACCTAAGACTAAAAGATGTGTAATTGAAATGCAAATCTAAATATAGTATGCTAGATGAGAGATGTATATTCAGCTCAACAAGAACTCAAGGCAACCTAACATATAACATTATCAAAAGTATAGCTAAACTTGGTTTTCAATTTCAAGAAACTTGTACAGATACAAATAATATAGAAGTAAAAGGTATCAAGGTAGTGAGATTACTATCAGGCAAAGATTTGAGAGACTTTATAGATAGTAGAAACCTAAATATATTTACAATAGATCAGTTACTAGAAGAGGAGGTAAATAAATTACTCTTTTGGAATCAGATAAAATCAATAAGAGGTTGCAGAGGAAAAGGTCGCAAACCAAACTGGTTCAAATCAATTGAAAGAGAAGTTCTTGTAGATCATAGCTCAAGAGAGGTTGCAGAGAACTTCAAAACCCAAAGTACTAACAGAGAAGCACTGAAAGTAAGCAGGCAGAAAATTAGCACAGATAAAAGAAAGAAAGAATGGGTTATTTTAAAAAGAAAAAATATACCGATAGTAGGAAAAATAGTTAGAAAGACTAAAGGAAAATTCACTCTAGTGCACTGGAAATGTATAGATCCAAGAGATGTACTATGAACAAGTATAGCAAAATGTGAAGAATGTAGCATTGGTAAAAAGAACGATACTGATTGTCTAATTAGCAAGCCAATAAGCAAGTGGCACCAAGTTGTCAACAAAGCAACAAAAGACGAAACAGGCACATTCATTTTAAAAATACTACTCTCAGCCTATATAGATAAATGTGAGCTGTACTCAAGAGAAGAACTCCCAATTCAGAACAGCATCCAGATAGAAATACTGAGCATAGAAGAAGCAATAATACAAAGAGTAATCAAAGATAAGAACGTTCAAAAAGATTTAAGAGAGATAGTAAAAAAGCTAAGAAGGGAAAAGGTGTTAGACATTTATATAGATGGGTCACTAGCAAGCGAAGAAACAGGAAATAATAGAAAAAAGAAAATGGGAATAGGCTGAGTAATAGATAATAGACATGATAATAGTTTAGATAGGATATGTTTTAATAGTAGAATAGTCAACTGGCCCTTCTCAACTCGAGCTGAGCTCAGAGCAATCTGGACAGCAATTTTGGCAGTACCATGTGAAACAACTTTTCTGGATTTAGAATTGTGGTTAGTTGTGTCAACAGGTCTGGCTAGTGTTGAAATAGTTCTGGCAAGAGCTTTTTCGCGGCTGCTTCAAATTTTGAGGCAAATAAGGCCAAAATTCCACACCAAGTCTTTCAATGCATATAATTTATACTATAGGTATAATGATCTTCAACATGCAAACAAAATGCAGAAAAAATCATTCCTACATATACCCAAGGCGACATCATCCTGGAGTGATGTCATAGAGTAATGAACCAGTTAATCTAGGAAGATTCTGAAGATTTCTTATTCGAATAACATTCGAATAATTTGGATCAGCGAATATCTATTCAAATATTCACCAAATGACTAACATTATTCGAATAAGCAAATTTATTCGAATAATTAGCTGCTTCACACATAGTAACTATAAGTTATTAGCGTTAGATATAGTTACTATGTGTGAAGCAGCCAATGACTGAAGTTTCAAATGAAGAATAATGAAAATTATTCGAATAAATTTGCTTATTTGAATAAAATTTGTTTATTTGAATTATTCTTTAGGTAATTATTTATTCGAATATTCGCCGAATAACAAATATTATTTGAATAACGAATACGAAACTCTAATCATAAAAAATTTAAAAACATACCTACTTAGTATAAATAACTAAATAGAACGTCAATGGCGTTTTTTAACCACAGTAGCGAAAGAGTCTCAAAAAAATACACGCTTAAGTAATAGAGATTCTATGTTTTGTACTAAAATATCTTGTATGAGAGATATTGAAAAGAGGGTATTTAGTCAGGGCATTACGGTAGTAAAAGGTTGGTAAAAAGATTATCAGACGCTATTACAGCTTACAAACCTTCCCTCGCTATGTCAATTTTAGTATCGGAATTCTGTGTTTAAATACTGTGATAAATTTTTTATGTATAATATAATTACTTGTCGGGGAGTTCCTTCTTCACATATACCAAATATCTCTACTTTAAAGGGAGATTTGAAATATATTGTGCCTTCTTGTTGTGAGGAGTAGGGAATTTGAACGTTCTCAGCAAAATCTCATGAAATATGGGTTTCGATATTAAGTGAATTTGGTACACAAGAACGAGAAAAACTAGGTAGACTTTTTAAGGCTGCCTTTGATTTTATGATACATGTCCTAAAAATTAAAGTTAATTTTAGACAATGTAATAATAAATTACTTGATAAGACATAAAATATAAGGTATAAAACCGGTAATATTCCCGTTCTAGCTGTGCCCAGCTATAATGATCATTCCATTCTTGTATTTTTTGTTCAACTTCATCCTTGTGCCAATACTTTGCTCCAAATCGCATCTTCTTACATATCATACATAAATCGCTACGTGCAGTTAAAAACTTAATTCCTGGAAAATATAACCTCCAAACACGAAGAAAACTCGAAAGACTAATCTTATTATCCTCACTGTTTTCGATACCATCATAAAGTCTAAATATTGAACGTTTACTTTCACATGCAGGCAAATAAGTTACCTCTCTTGTATTGTCTCGAAAACTTCGACCTAATGATTAATTTAAAATAATTAATAAACTATAAATGACAAATTATCTTATTGCTTGTATACCTGGAGATAGCAGACCATGTTTATTTGCATAATTCTTAATAAATTTTAATACGTGTAATACTGTAATAAACAAAATTGCAAAGTTACTAACACGCCCACTTAGTTTATGGATTTTTGGAGCTAGTCCATGTTGTTGGTAATGTGCGCGTAATGAATCCCATTTAGCTCGTCCAATACCATATATAGTTAACCAAGCAGTTTGGCAAACTGGTATTCCACTAAAATTATAATTGGTCGTTAAATATGTTTTTGATGCTCCACTATTTAACATTCCGAATCTAACACTGGCATCTATCATTCCTAAAAAACAAAAATTACTTTCTGATTGAGACAATGCTTTTATTTCACGATAACGCTTAAGTGCCTCTTGTACATTAATATTCGTAACACAATGCTTTTGACAACATTGATTTTGTAATTTTTTTAAATAAGCCTCATCATCCTGTTTTTCTAACCTAGTCGAAGACTTGCTTTCATTTTTAATAGATGCTTGTATAGGTTTAAGTGTATAAATTTTTTTAAACTCTTCGATTTGTCTTGAAGTAAAAACATCATTTACATCATCTTCTTGATCTTCTTCGAATGTTATATTGTCATTTACATTATCTTCTTGACCTTCTTCGGATGTTATACTTTCGTCCTTGTTATCTATATCATCGTCGCTATCACTATCATCCTTTAAATTATTAGTCTGATAAACTTCATAAAGCTCGTTTAGTTCATCGTTTAAAGTTTCCAATTCGCTATGCGTTTCTAAAAAGATACTATCAAACAAAGAATTTTTAATTTTAGACATCAATAACAATGGGAAGAAAAAAAAATAAGAGCAAAGCAACTCAGGTCATTATAGACTACTTTATATACCACAAAATCGTAATAGCCTGTGCATTATCTTATCATCGTATTTCAAATACGTACATATGTGCGTACGCCAACGAATTATTCAATATCTGTTATATTTGATATGCGTAATTCAGATAGACTCTTCTAAATAAATACTTATAAAAATGAAGTGTGTGATTTGATTGTACGGACCCGTTTCTTCTAAATATACTGTATCTGTATGCACTTCATCTATGCTTTCTTGAACTTAAGTATCCTGCCTTTTTAGTATATTCCGACATTTAATTATTATTCTTAACATTGTTCAGTTTATCAGGTTCCCAAACAGTCTGACTTATAAACACATTTCTATGCATCAACATGTGGATTCTAGAGTTCCCCAATCTCGTTTAGCGCAACATCATCCTACTAATTACCAATATTTCATTATCTTCCATTATCTCATCACAATTTTTGTACAAACGTTTTTTCATCATATTATCGATCACACAATCCCATTATTGTGCTATATACTCTCCCAACCGATTAATGTTCTCAAAAGTATCATGCCATATTGACATTCTCGTCTAAAAGCGCTACATAATTATCAAATATTTAATCACTTAGAAAGGGTATGAATCGATTATTTTACAATATACATTGGATGATGAACTAACTTTAAATATTATTTAAAAAAAAGTTTTTTTTTTACAATTTGTACCGCCTCAGTGTGTTTAACATTTATATTATTTGGATAATATAGCTTGACCCTTATTCAACCATCTAACAACTCGCATTACATATCTAATCTTCTTCACCGATCCTATTCTTATTGTCCTTTCCATCAGCTTTAATTGTACAAGCACAAGGTACTATTTTAATACTGTTACGTGATTTCAAGTATTCTTTTTTTTTTTTTGCTATTGTGCCTTATTAAGGCCATTTAAACTTAATAAATCAGTTTTCATAACATAAAATTTTCAAAAGTGACCCGGCAACCCGGCTTTTAATTTTATTTTCAAAAAATTTTATATATAAAAAACATATAAAATTTTTTATAGATTTTTAAAAAAACTCACCCGGATAGTAAGTATATTTAAAATTTTTTTTTAGAGTTTTGTAAATTTTGACCTGGTCGGGTTATGAAAACCGATTAATTAAGTTTGTATGGCCTAATGTCTAAAATTTCCTTCCTTCGTTCATTCACTGTTCATTCGTTCGTCTGTTCGTTCATTCATTCGTATGTTCGTTCGTTCATTCGTATGTTCGTTCGTTTGTTCATTCATTTGTCTGTTCATATACTGCCACTTGGTTCCTTTGGTCACTCGAATTTCAATGAGCAAGACCTTAGTCTTACTCAGATCCTTTGCATCGCGGTTCTCTTAAGCATGAAACAGTTCAATATTATGTTCATTATACTGCATTAATAAATTAATTATCGATAAGATCATGTTACACAATACCCAGTGCTAGAATTGCCAGAGTTGATCGATTTACATTTCTGGACTGATCTCCGGATCACAATCTTTGTGTAACTATAGAGTGAAAACTTTAATATTGTAAACTTTTATTATGCTAATCAAATTTTATTCTTAATTGAAAAATAATCAGCATATTGAATTCTATTATTTTATTGAAAAATCTCAATTTTGAAAAATTTTTGATTTGCTTGATTTCTACTGACTCAACCCCATATGTCTATGATTCATTTATAATTAGCTAATTTGCTATTATTATTTGTTTATTTCATATTATCTTAGCAAACTTTATACTTCTGTATAGAATTTATTTAAACCTTAAATATTGAAAAAGATATAGACTTTTATAAAAGCAAAAAATTAAGGTTGCTCTGTACTTTTATATATTTATAAAAAAAATACAAAAGGTATAAATCATGCTCATTACAAAACAATACTATATTAAAACTTTAGAGGAGTTAATCTGTTTTGATTACATATTTTTCATAATCTTAGTAAGTCACTATCTTAAGAATAAAGTGAATCTAATAAAATATGATTTTAAATAAAAAGAATTAATATATTATATGAAAAATTGCATAAATCTAAGTAAAAAAATTATATAAATTGTAAAAGTAATTTTTATATCACATTTCTTAAATTTTGTACATAAAACTAGACTTTGAGTTTTAAAGTTTATAATTTATCAAACTAAATATATTATATTTAGTAATAGAAAATAAACTTATAAATCTGAAGTCTGGTTTCTAGGTATTTAAATTCATACAGAATTAGTTGACATTTATAGCTTGCCTATTCTAAGAATAGATATAAATATATTTAGTTTGCTAGGTAAAGTATAAAATCTAGAAATTACATATTTTTTTTTATTTATTATAATACCAGTATAGGTAAATTGTTTTAGTATAATTTAAATATCAAGATGATACTATTTATAACTAAGATTTTCTTATTTGTATTAATGTTTCTCTAAAAGTTATCAGATATAATATTATATTTTCTATTTTCTATAAATAACTAATTTAAATAATTGTTATTATTATTATTAGAAATAGAAAGGTTAGAAAAAAATCTTTTTGATAAGAATTAAAGATATTATAAGATATATAAGTAGAGTGAGCAGTTTTGTAAGAACTATTATGAAATGAAAGTATCTATATTAGTTTGATATTGAGTTTGAGTAGAAGTTCTTTTTAGAGTAGAAGCTAATAAGTTATATATTTTGTTTTTTTTTAGTTTGTTTTGTAATATTTTGAGAGTTTTTCTATATATGTTAGTATTGATTTCTTAGTTACTAAATATCTGAGTAAAACCAGTTTAGTGTATTATTTGAAAGGTTAGTAAAAAAGTTTGTAGTTAATTTGTTAAGTTTGTTTTAAACTTATACAAAAAGTTATAGTAGAATAGTTTCTTAGATTATATATAGAAGTAGGTTTGGAATAGAGATTTGAGAGAAGTTGTTATAAGTCAAAAAATTGCAGAGATAGTTTGTTCTGAATAGTTTATGATATTTAGAAATTTGATTAATTAGTTGATTTAGTGTTTGAGAGCAGTAAGAAGGTAAGTTTTGTATACATTGTATTTAAGAAGATAAAGTATATTTTCTTTTTGATTACAGTGAGAATAGTTTAGTATAAGATATAGTTGTAATTGTCTGATGTTTAAGTTGTCTATTATTAGAAGGTTGTTGAGTAGAATTTTGAGACAAAATGAATAAAGATTAGTATTTGATAATAGTGAGTTAAGAATTGAGAAATTTAGTTTTAAGTTAGTTAGTAGTAAGTTATAATAAGTTTTGAGCTATATTATTAAGAGTTTGAATAAAAGTTAAGGATTTGTTAAATTAGTGAAGTTTTATAGAAATAAGATTATTATGCTAAGAAAAGAATAAGAGTAGAGTAAAGTATTGTATATTGATTTTAAGTAGTAATTTGTCTGTTTCTTTTTTTGAGAGTTTGTTTACTATATTATGGAAGATATTTTTAAAGTGAGATTTAATTTTGTAAAAGATGCAAGAGATATTTTTAGACTTGATTAGTAAGTTTATGGTATGAATTATATCTTAGTTGAGTTGTTTAATTTGAGTAGAGTTTTTATAAAGAAGGTTTTTAAGAATTTATAAAGCTAATAGATTGTCTATATATATATGAATATCAGAAGATATTAGAAGAATAAGTAGGATTGATATTATTGCTTCTATTTTAGCTCTTGTTGAGTTAGAAGTATATGCTAGAGCAGTATTAAATTTTATTTGAGTATTATTAAAGAGGATCCAGCCAAAGCCTGATTTGATAAAAGATGTTTGTGAATAATAAATACATATATCAGTATAGAAGTATAAATTTTTTTGAGGTAAGTTAGAGAGAAGGTTATATAATTTAATATGCTGTATCTAGTATATAGTTAAATTAATTGTATTTTTGATAAGGGCTATTTCCGTGTTTAGAATTAGAATAGTAGATAGTAGTAAGACTTGGTTTTGAGTATAGAGTTGTATAGAGATAGTAATAAGATCTTTAATTTTAAGGTTATTAATAGATAGTTTGAAGTTTGATTTTTCTTTTTAGCTTTTGTATTTGATATTTAGGATTTGGTTTGGTGTTGTGTTTAGAAAAGATTGTGAGAATAAGATTATGATAATTCTATTTATTTATAAGATAATATTATATTTTTGAAAAGTTATATAAGTTGAATAGTGAGTTATAATTTTTCTAATAGAGTATATTTAATTTGATGAGTAGATAGACCAATTTGATTTGAATGAGGTAGTAGGAATTGTAATTAAGTCAAGTATGTAAATGAAAGAATTTATAGAGAGATTAAATTGGTATTAGTTTTTAAAAGTATTGCAGATTTTCTTATACTATGTAGGTATGTAATCTCTAGATATTTTATTTGTACAAAGGTAGATATTGTTTTATAGTAGGAGATTTAAGTTATTTGCAGTAAGAAGTTGTTCTAAAAAAAAATTTTTATTATTTTTAAGGCTAAGTGTTGTTGTTGATTTATAGAGGTATGAAAGAAATTTGTATATTCATCACCAAATTTTATTAGAGAATATATATCGATATATATTTATAAAAGATATATATTAATTTAAATCTACTATCGCATATAATTGATTACTATATAAATTGATAAATAATGATTAACTATTAAAAATTGTTAAAAAATAATTTAATCAATTATATTGATAAATATCATTAATTAATAATTAGAATTTATTTGAAATAATTAATATTGAAATTAGAAATTTAAAATCGTTATATAAAAATTATTATCAATACAAAATAATTTTAATTAATATTATAAAAACCCAAATTGAATGTTATTAAAATAGTAATAGATTAAATTATAAATTTATATTTCTACTAAACAGATTTAGCTTTATATTATAAAAATATTACTAAT